CCGGGCTGCGTTTCTGCCCGCGACAGCGGCGCCTGAGCGCGTGGGCTGCAAGGCCCCTCGGGGAGGCCCGCGGGGCGGCGGGAGAGAGCTCTCCCGCCGTCGTGGCGCACCATACCACCCGTAGAGGCCTCTTTATAGTCGCCTTTTGGCACCTCCTCTCTACACGCCGCCGAGTAGACCCCGCCGCACCGCATCACCGCCCCCTTCCCTGCCCCGTCGCCCTCCTGAGCTCTCCCCCCTTCGCGCCAGTCACGCACAGGACGGCTGGGCCATCGGCCCGCTTGACAGGCGCCCGGGACGGCCGGAGAGCGGCTCCGTCATTTGAGCCCTCTCGGGCCACTCTCGGGCGCGTCCGCCGGCCGGCAGAGCACCGCTTGAGCCCTCTCGGGGCGACTCAGACGGCCCGCCCGACCACCGCCCTCGATCGTGCCGCTCCCACGGCGTCAGTGGCGGGCTGGGGGGGGCAGGCGGCGTCCGCGCACCCCTCGTGGGGGTGACCACCGCTCTCCTCTCACCTCTCCCCCCCCGCCCGTGGCACCCCACGCACGCGTCCCTCCTCAGGGGCGCAAGGCGGCACGTTCAACGCTTGCCTCGGCCCACCTCGCCTTCACGCCCGCCGCCGCGACCAAGGAGGTGGCCTCGGCGGCCCAGACGAAGCCCGTGCGGCTCGTTTGGGAGCCGCGCGCCGTCCCTCTCTCGCCCGCGCTGCTCGCCACGCCGAAGCCCACGTCCCTCCGGCCGCAGGCGCCGCCAAGGAGTGACCAGCGCCCCTCCCGAGCACCTTCCCGGCGGGCAGCGCCTCCGTAGCGGCGCTGGCGGCCCCTGCGAGCCGGCCGGCGCCACGAGTGAGTATTCGAAGGCGCGCGCGTCCCCTCTCTCCCCGGCCCGCCGCGTCTCTCTGACCACCCCTCCCCCTCCCGGGTCAGGCGTGCATCGGGCGTACAAAATGGCCGCGGGGCGCACCTCCAGCGACGCTGTCTCTTTGGCCCGAGCGGTGGGTAACTCCCTGGCCGGGCTCAGGCCCTCTCGGGCTGCTGCGAGCTGCGCGATGCGCGTCCCCTCCGCCGCACGGCCGTGCCCCTGCCCCTCACACTCCGACTCCGCCGCAGGACCGGTCTGGCGACCCGGAACGACCGCCTAGAGCAGCAGCATCGACCATCCCGACCCCGTGGGGGCCGGGGCGGGCCAGCCAGACGTGAGAGCACCCCTCCCCCCCTCTCGCGGCGCGTCCCCTCCTTCCTCCCCGCACCCCGCCACCCGGCTCGCAGCCCCGTCGCCGTCGTGAGTCAGCCCTCGGTCAGGTACTGCCAAAGGCGGCCGAAGCAACACCATCGCTACCAGCGCCACCGTGCCGGCGCTGGTGAGCTCTGCGGCCCGTGTAGCGGCCCCTTAGCCCGTCGCCCGGGCACATGGCGCCCTCACACCGCTCCTCGCCTCCGTCTCGCAGGCCAAAATCGTCGACATCGCGTCGGCACTCTCGACGGCGCGCCTGGGCTCGGAGAGGGCGGCCTGGGCGGTGCGGGGTGGCTGGGCTGCCCCCCTCCCGCGGTGCGCCAAGCCTCGGGGGTCGGGGAGACCATCTCGGGTCGCCGAGGGGGCGGGTCGGACGCCCGATCCGGCTGCTGGCCGGAGGACGTCGCCGGCTCCGCGATTTTGGGCGCCCCAGTCGCCTCCAGCCGGGACGAGCGGCGCCAGCTGGTAGCTGGGGCCGCAGGGCGGTCGGGCCGACACCGTGTGCTAGTCGGGGTGGGTTGTCTAGGGGCGTAAAGGTCGGTAGAGTGTCCGTTTGTGGCCTCCGGACGGGCTCTGGTCGGGAGCCCGCCGGGCCGGCTGAGGCTGTGTGTCCGTCCACTGTGGACCCAGTGATGGCCTAGGAGCCCTGCACGGACGGTGTTTATGCTATATAACACCTAGGGACCGCGTGGGGTGGGCGGCGAGCCGCGCATCGGCCGACAATGTGCCGGTGTACGCGTTTCGGTCACACTCAGGGCCCGTTTTGCATGACCTGCCTCCCGAGCGAGGCCGGCGCGGTCACGGTACCGTGGAGGCCACAGACGTCGCCGGAGCGGCACTCCCGGGGCGCCACTCCCTCACCCGGTCAGGGGGGGCCAACACAGCCCGCCTCACCGTCCGTGGAGCTTCCGTGGTCCGCCGCTTCGGCTTCGATTTTCGACCCTCCCGAGGCTGCTAGAGCAGCCCCGCGGAGCCTCCCGGATGCACCAGCACACCGTCGTCCAGAACGCCGGCGCACGCGCTGCCCAGTGACTGGGCGGGTCGGCCCCGACTAGGGGCGGGCCCAGCCGCGCGGAGAAGACCATCCCACTCGCGGTTCGTCGCACCGTCCGCTCCGGTTTTCGTCTTGAGCGGGCCGTGAGACGGCCGCGAGAGCGAGCACCGCGGTCACGGTACCGTGGAGGCCACAGACGTCGCCGGAGCGGCACTCCCGGGGCGCCACTCCCTCGCCCGGTCAGGGGGGGCCAACCACAGCCCGCCTCACCGTCCGTGGAGCTTCCGTGGTCCGCCGCTCCGGCTTCGATTTTCGACCCTCCCGAGGCTGCTAGAGCAGCCCCGCGGAGCCTCCCGGATGCATCGGCACACCGTCGTCCAGAACGCCGGCGCACGCGCTGCCCAGTGACTGGGCGGGTCGGCCCCGACTAGGGGCGGGCCCAGCCGCGCGGAGAAGGCCAGCGAGCTCGAAACACGTCGCCGCGGCCGGCCGTTTCGCAAGCCTGAGCGGGTCGCCAGACACCCGCGAGAGCCAGCAGCTAGAGCGCCGTCGTAGCCGCAGATCGAGTCGAGGAGCTTGATGTCCACGGTAGCAGTTGTGGAGAGCGGTGGCACGGTGCGTGTAGACGCGTCGATTGAGGGCTCCCTTTCGAAACGCGACGGGTACGGCATGACAACTGCCAGTACAGTTTTACGCCGGCCAGCGTGAGAGCACAACAGGGAGCCGGCGACCCGTACGCTTTGCGCGTGGCGACTGGTGGCTGTCTGGAGCTCGTGTGAGCTGGGCCGACGCGTGGCCGAGCCGAGAGGACCAGCGAGCGACCACGTTGGCGATGAAGCTTGGCGGCCGGCGCCTCGTCGCCAGACGTCACAGCGGCGTGGACGTAGGAGTGTGCGGCGACGGTTACCGGCAAATCCGGCCCAGTGTGGCCGGCAGCTGCCTAGCGCTGGCCTGTGGCCGGCGCCGCGGTGGCGGATAAGGCGTCTCGCCGCCGTGGCGGCGGTCGGCAGGTGCGAGCGTGATGCCATCTTGCGAGACGACACCCGACTGGCAAAACCCGGACTGCCACCTTAAAAAATCGATTTCCCAAAAGAAAACCGTGGAGCCTCACTCAATGGAGCTGCCGGTCGCAATGGAGGAGCTGCCGGTCGTGCTGGCCACGCCCGTGCCCACCGCTGCACTTGTGCCGTGCGACGACAATCTCAAGGCTATCATGGACGAGCCAGGCGTGTGGCAGGGCAGTGTCAAGATCGGCCCGGTTTCCGTCCACATTGAAGAACGGCACGAGAGAGGCTCGCTGATGGAAAGCGGAACGATCAAGCCGATTTTATGCGGGTGCTGCCCTGTGCCCATTATCACGTCCACACTGCAAATCTCACCGGACTTCAGCTCGATGACACGGAATAACAGCAACGGAGATTCATACCAGTACACGCTGACTAGCATCGACATCAGCGCCAAGACCGCTTCATACCAAGTCGCCGGATTGATGTCTGGCAAAACGATGGCAGGCACAGTGCTCGTCGACGGTCACGCACACACCCGCAGCATGACGCTGACAGCGCCGCAGCGTTTCACGTGCATGCTGGAGAAGGTGGCGTGAGGATAGCCCAGCGATGCGGCGCATCATCATCCATATTTGTCCGCCGCGGCGCCTGACCGCCGGAAGCCTCTCGCCGCTTCGCCGCGCTTGCGCGGGGCAGTCCTACGGCGGAAGGGGGGAGATCTAGCCCTGCACGGCTAGGAACCCGAACCCCGTCGCGTGACCTTACCGTTACGGTACACCACCCCACACCACCCCACACCCCGGTACTTACTACTTTACGTAGCTCTTTTCGTACATGCGTACGCTTGGCAACTGTAATCGCCTCGCATCGGTTGTCGTCGGCTCGAAAGAAATACAAAAGGCCCACCGCGGCCCACCGGCACCGCGCGCGGCGGCAACTCAAGAACAACAGCGGCGCAACGAGATCTGACCGCACACAAGCGCCGACGCCCCAAAACCTGTGCTGTAGTCCGCCACACCGTCCGTATGCTCCCTGCGGGTCGACCTGCACGGCACCTTTGTGACCGACGTCTTCTTCAGGCTGCTCACCGAGGCGACCAACAAGTCGGTGCGCGTCGAGTTCACGCCCAACATGCCGCCCACGCCGCTCGTGTACGGCATTGACGAGGTGGCAAGGCGCTCCAGCTCCGTCCAGGCAGCCCGCCGGTCACCCAAGAGGACGTCTCCCTATGGGTAGGTAGGTAGGTAGGTAGGTAGGTAGGTGTTACCTCACACGGTCTATTGCAGAGACAAGGAGGGCCCACACAGCACACACACCAAAAGAGACATGTGCTGCACACTGGACATCAGAGGGCGAAGGGTTGGATCAAGCAGTGGGAAGGGACTCGAGGTGACGCGCGAGCAGAGACCTTGTACACCTCCACGCGCTCCGCACCGCCGAAAACGTCCTTCCACGATGTGCCACGATGTGGCATGTGGATGTTGCTCGTTGTCTTTTTTCTCTCAGCTCTCTAGACGCGTTGGTTTTTTGCGCGCCTTTGTAACATTGTATGGCTATGGGCCCGGACGATGTGTTTTGTCGGGGGCACAAAGGCACAAATCTCTGCATTTATTTTGTCTGCGACTCTGCGCGTGGGCCGTGGGTATCGCGCGCTTAGAGTAAGCTCGTTGCTGTTGCACCGAGCTCGCACCGTCAGCGCTGCCACGAAGGATAATGATGCCTCAGCGCACGAGCCTTACATGCGCATGCACTGAGTGTGTCCTCGCCTACCCCCGCGCCGCGGCGCGCAGCGTCGGCCACGCGCCCTCGCCCCCTCCCTCAGCCTTGCCGAGGCGCAGCACCAGCTGCGAGCGGGAGCGCGGGAGGCGAACCTTGCAGGCGGCGGGGGCGATGGGGCCGAAGAGCGGCCTGCGTGGCACGCGGCGCCGCGGGTCCGACTCGGGAGTCGGACTCTGGCAGGAGGGGCGGGCGGATGCGGCGGCGGCGGCCCTGGTGGTGGTGGGTGCGGCAGTCCGTCCTCCCATCCGGCTGTGTCTCGGCCATGTCTCGGCTACATATGTTCCTGATGGTGAGCTGGTGCGGCACTCCCTCCTCCGAGACGACGCGGCACGCGAAGCCTGAGGGGGTGGGGGGAGGTGCTGGCAACACTCCCTCGGCGCGGCGGGCCGGCAGGGGCGGCCTGCCGCGATGGGAAAGTCAAAAAGGCGACAGGAGAAGGGCGAGGAAGGGAGGAGGGGGGGGGAGAGGGGGGGGGGGGGGGGGGAGGAGGAGCGTCAGCGAAGCGGCGCCTGTGCGGAGCCCCGCCCGCTGGGGAGAGACCAGGCGTGGGCGAGGATGCGGCCGAGGGGTCGAGAGAGTCGACCTCGATGCGTACCATCGATGCGTACCCCACGGCCCAAAGAGGGGCTTACAGCCGAGGTGTGTCCACGATCTGGCGCTCACGTACCGGCTGCAGCTGCAGCCGGCCGGCCACGACCTCGCGCCGCGCCGCGCCAACCTGCCTCCGCTCCGCCTCCCGCACCTGCGGAGCAGGGTAAGCCGAGATTCGCCGAGATTCGCCGAGATTCGCCGAGATTCGCCGAGATTCGCCGGGAGGAGGGGTAGGCCGAGGCCGTCGCTGGCTACTCGCAGGAGCAGCGCGTGCACACAGCGTGACTGCAAGATAGGGGGAGATAGGGGCAGATATAGGGAGAGAAGGAAAGCGTGACTGCAGCCGCGTCCGCGTGAGCTGCGGCAACAGGTGCGGCCAGGAGGTGCGCGGAGAGGGTGGAGGAGCACGTGGGGCCGACGTCTCTCGAGAAGGCGTGTTGGGAGGTGTGCGCACTGTCGCATCTAGCCTCCCCCGCCGGAGATATGGGGAGATATGGGGAGATATGGGTCTGCACTGTCGCATCTAGCCTCCCCCGCCGGAGATATGGGGAGATAGGGGGAGATATGGGGAGATATGGGTCTGCACTGTCGCATCTAGCCTCCCCCGCCGGAGATATGGGGAGATATGGGGAGATATGGGTCTGCACTGTCGCATCTAGCCTCCCCCGCCGGTGTGAGGAAGCGAGGACGGTTGTCGGCCTACATGGTGGGCACGCCAGCCTCGGGGCGGGAGATATGGGGAGATATGGGGAGATATGGGCAGCCTACATGGTGGGGCACGCCAGCCTCGGGGCGGGAGAGCGGTAGTGTGCAGAGTAGGCTAGAGGGCCGCGTGAAGACGAGGGGCTACGAATACAGTGCATGCAGATGAATACGGCCGACTGCAGCGGAGTCCGTGTCCTCTCGAGCGGCGGCTGGAGGACACGGACACGTCTTCCGCTTCTAGGCGTTCGGTGCGTCGTACTCGTCCGTCTCCACGCCTGTCCCAAACGAGAGGGGGGGAGGCAGAGGCCGCCGGTGAGACCGACCGGGGAAGGAAGGGCCTGGGCGTTCGCGCGCGTGTGGATCTGGCCGAGCAATCACTGCCACCGCTCGGGGCTGCTTGGACGCGGCGCGCGATCGGTGGAGTGTCTGATTGCGTGGGCCGCTTCGCGACGCACACGCGGTGGGGCGGGCGGCAAGACATGTTGCGCATGTCTCCACGACATGTGCATGTGCATGTGCATGTGCATGTGCATGTGCATGTGCATGTGCATGTGTCGGCACGTCCCATATGCAGAGGCTAGGCAGGAGGGGTCGTCTCTCTCGCCCGCCCCATCGGCCTTCGCCCCGTCCTCCTCCTCACGCGCCATCTCGGGCCGATCTCGGGGCGATCTCGGGGCGATCTCGGGGCGATCTCCGCGTGCCGAGCTCGTCCTTCCAACGGCCGGACGCCAAGTCAACCTCTCGCAACCGCGAACGGTCGGGCGGCTGCTGCCCGGCTGCTTCCGCCGCCTCCGATGCCGCCTCTGCCACCGAGCGCGCCGCCCGCCGCGCCGCCGCCTGCCGCGCCGCCTCCGCCTCCGACGCCTCCTCTGGCGCCTTC